GGACCCCAGGAACATTCTGAGCACAGGAATGACATGGCCTGACCTAAGTTTTTAAAAAATTACTCAGGCTGCTATATTAAGGGTAGACTAGAGAGGATTAAAGGTGTAAGCAGGGAAGTCAGATAAGACAATATTGCAGTAATTCAGGCAAAGTTTGATACTGGCTTTGAACAAAGTAATAGCAGTGGGAGTGGTCAGATTCTGGATATACTATGAAGGTAAGACAAATCAAATTTCTTGATTCATTGGATGAATGGTAGGACAGAAAAAAATATAGTCAAGAGATTTGAATACAAGCAACTAGAAAGAAGTAGTTGCCATCTTTTATGGAGATGGAGAAGGCTAAGATGGGTGTGGGGGACTAAAGTTCCATTTTGGTTATGTTGAATTTGAGATGTCGATTAATATCCAAGTGGAAATGTTGAGTGCCAATACGGATTTTTGATTCTGGAGTTTGGAAAATAGGTCTAGGGAGTCCTTTGACTCATTCAATGATATTTACAGCTGCAGAACTAGGAATGAGTGTGCTTGCTTCATCAACACACCTACTAGGACTAGAGGTGAGTGTAAATATAGAGGAAGACTTAGATTTGAGTTCTGGTGCACTCCAGTGTTGGAAGGTAAAAAAGAAGGAACTGGCAAAGAAGATTGAGCGAACACAGAAGAAAATTGAGAGAATGTGTCTTGGAAGACGAGGTGGTCACCTATGACCTATCAAAAGTTGCCAGTCAATCAAGTAAGATGAAGACTAAGAGTCAACCATTACATTTAGCAACCAGAAGTCACTAGTAACCTTGAAAAGAGCACTTTGAGTGGAGCGGGCATAAAAGAGAATGAGAAGAGAAGAAATGGAGACAATGAACTGAGCAATATCTAACAGAGGAAGTGAGGCCAAGAGAAGGTTTTACGTGTCTTTTTTTTTTTTTTCATGGAAGAGACAATAGTGTGACTTGTATTCTGATGAGAATGAGCCAATAGCAAACAAACAAGATTGCATAGTAGAGAAGGGCAAAAATTGTTGGTGCCTTGTCCTTAAGCACATAAGAGAGAGGAGATGGGAACTAGTTGGACATGTTGAGGGATTGACTTTTACTAAAGACAGTATATGTGAGTGCAGATGCTAGTAGAAAGGTATAAATGGTATGGAATGTTAATATTAGAATATAGAAATTGATCTACACACACATATTTTTTCAAGACGGGGTCTCACTCTGTCACTCAGGCTGGAGTGCAGTGGTGTGATCATGGCTCACTGCAGCTTCAGCCTCTTGGACTCAAGTGATCCTCCCACCTCACCCTCCCAAGTAGCTGGGAGTAATGATGCATGCCACTACACCTGGCTAATTTTTTGTAGAGATGGGATTTTGCCATGTTGCCCAGGCTGGTCTCAAGCTACTGGGCTCAAGTGATCCATCCCCTTCAGCCTCCCAAAGTGCTGGGATTACAGATGCAAGCCATTTCACCCAGCCTTTTAAAAATATTTTTAATAAATGTTACCAAATTGCCTTCTAGAATGGTTATACTAATTTTATATTCCCAACAATTTTTTTATTTTCCTACATCCTTATCAACACTGCATTGTGCTCTCTTTTTCAATCTGAAAGGGAAATACTATATTCCCTCCAGCCTTTACAGCTTCAATTCTGTCCCAAACCATTTATGTCCAGAGACCTTGGCTGGTTTGCAGAGAGACAAGAGTGGGTTGAGTAACCTGAAGTAAAAGAACGTCAGCAAGTCGCAGTACTCTTCACATAACTGCGCCTTCCAATGATGACTGAAGACATTCAGCCTATACAGTTGTCAGCTAGCTATCACATTCACTGAGGCACTTGAGCAAAATGAGGTAGTTTCCTATTTCAAAAGTATTCATCATTCTACTGTTACAAGGTCAAAATAGTATATTAATTACTGCCTTAACCCATTTATGCCTAGTGTTCCATTATTAGGACGCTAAGCTTGTGGGAGTTATTTGTATCCTGTTGCTCAAGGTCATCTCCAAGATCTGATTTTTCACACAAAAAAAATTGCAACGTTCAGCATAAATGGGTTAATACAGATGTGTCTGACATAGTCCAAAAGGCAGGACATATATGCCAAATTGCAACATATTAATACAGAGACAACAGTTATGATTCTAGATAATGCTTCTTGATGATAGATTATCCTGTCCTTTACAGATTTTTTTTCCCCATCGGGCAGTTCTTGGCCTGCTTATTTCATCTGTTGCTACAGAATATAGGACCTTTACTTTCCCCATAAGGATATCAGCATAAAAAGGCCCCAAAAGTTTTCTCACTTTTACCTTGGCCTTCCCAACAAACACAAAACCAGTGAAAATTACCAAAATTACCCTAGCTCTTTTCATCACACGGGTATACAGTGCTGTTCTTTCTTGGGAAAGGGAAGGAGAGAAAATGTCTAACCTTGGTTTAAATTGAATTTGAGGCAAAGGTAGAAAAACAGTGGTTTAGAACTGTTCTTTCCTGGAGTACCTGACTTCCTTAGACATTGATGCCTTTGCGCTTTATCTGTCCAGGGTACAGTCCTCTTTTTCCAAGTCTGTGTGGCAACTTCAATTATCCTTCAAACTTAACCTGTTCTGTGAAGCCTTTCCCCTGCCTTCCTGCCAAAGGAAAGTTAGCCTCTTTTTCTGTTCACATAACATCTTGACATACCTCTCCGATGGCATTTGTCACAGTGTATGGAATTATTTATTTACAGATCTATTTCCCCCAACAGACTGAACTCCCTCAGGGCAGAGATTTTATTTTATTCATTTGTTTATACCAACACCTCACACATAGTAGCTGTTAAATAAATGCTGTCATATTGAGTTGAATCTTTATGCAACTATTATATCTCTCTAAGGTGAGTTACAATGAGATCATGAAAGAGGGTACAGTATTTGATATGGAGTAAATTACAATATATGCTTCAGCCTTCTAGACACTGGTTTTGTCATTCAGATATATAAATTATAAGCGAAGTGACATGGACTTCTAAGGCTACACAGAAGAAAATGTGCATATAGAAATGCTCCACATACATGGAACAGACCAAGGCAGATCAAGAAGAGGGAACTTTTACCCTGCGCTGGTCCTGTGTTTCATGCTCTTCTAGAAGTATTGGTCCTTCTTAACCTCTTATTACACATGGGGTTACCATAATATATATATGAGTCAAGCTTCAAACCAGGAAAAACAAGCACAATAATACTTTTGGAATGTATAACTTATCTTAGAAATTAGACCTTATATAATCTTAGGCAAAGATGGGGAAATAGGGCCAAAGCGGGGAGTTGAAGGTTCAGGGGAAAAAATCACCAATCGGCCCTCCAGAAATAATGGCATAGTTGGAATTTGCAGGGAAATCTAGAAACCAGGCACATTTAGGTGCTAGAGTGGAACTATGAAAGGATTAGGGGTGAGAAGGTAGCTGGTGTTATGGTATAGAAGTCAGTAGAAGGCTGTTGCCTCTGCATAGCTATTGCTTCTGTAAGTGTGCTACCGCCTGTTTGGTGGTGTGCTTGGAGATACTGGTCAGCAGGGTTGGTAGTTCTAGACACAAATAGAACAAGGAAGCACAAGGACAAAGTGAAACCGAGCAGCATTTCTACCTCTTACTCTCACCACCTCTAACCACAGCAACCTTCAGAAAGTCATGGCAGCTTCTGCACTCCCAGCATCCAAATCTCGCACAAATTTCTCTTTTGGCCAATTGTAGCCCACAACCATAAAGGGAAGTGGATTCTAAGAAACTTAATTCTTGTTAGCTAAGTTGACATGGTATAAGCCACTATATTATACTTCTAAATTTTGTAAATTGAATTTAGTTTCAATTTTAGAAGCAATACTCATTTGACCAGGAAAAAGCAGAGGTAAGAAACATATATTACTTTATATTTTTTTAAAGCATTATCAAGTATTGCCTAGTAACATACTAACTAGCACACATTTCAGAAACAAATTATTGATTGTAAATGCTAACTACTACAGAAGATTTTAAGGTGATCATACAAACATTTCTTTGTCTTCTGATGGTCAACACAGAATTTAAGTACAATTTTTAAAACATCTCCTGAGATCTTCCGAAGAAGGATCTAAGAAGAAAAAGGAAGTAATATTTACTATACACTGCACCAAGAACTTCTGTGTGTGTTATTTCATTGAATTCATATACCAAACCTGTGAGACTCCTAAAAGTGAAGTAACTCAAGATCAAATTCAATCAAATTCATATAAAAGGTTAAAAATTTGCCGAGAATTTAGGGTAATTTACATCTCAATCAGGTTATCTTTTTCTCTTGACTTAGTTTTATCCTACTTTTTAAAATTTTTTACTGACAGGATAACGCATAAAGTAAAATGAACTAATCTGTTTTTTTTTTTTTTTTTTTTTTTGGAGATGGAGTCTCACTCTGTCACCCAAGCTGGAGTGCAGTGGTACGATCTCGGCTCACTGCAAGCTCCGCCTCCTGGGTTCACGCCATTCTCCCACCTAAGCCTCCCGAGTTGCTGGGACTACAGGCGCCCACCACCACGCTCGGCTAATTTTTTGTATTTTTAGTAGAGACGGGGTTTCACCATGTTAGCCAGGATGGTCTCGATCTCCTGACCTCATGATCCGCCCGCCTTGGCCTCCCAAAGTGCTGAGATTACAGGCGTGAGCCATGACACCTGGCCAAATGAACTAATCTTAAGAGTACAACTTAATGAATTTTCACATATCTATGTATACATCTGTGTAATCACCATACAGATAAAAATATAGCACTTTTCCAATATCCTTGATTGATTTTTCCTTGGGCCTTTTGTACTTCCAGGCAAATTGCCATATGTATTTATATTTTTTATTACAATGAATAAAAAAAATTGTTAAAAATATGCTGGGAGGAAGTGAACATTCGCAGTAAAGTAAGAATGTTAAATAGTGTGTCCCATAACTGCTTTGAATGACATCTACTTATGTCACTTTCTCTTTCTGCTTTTACCCTAAAACAGGTAATCAGATCCTGTCCCTTGGGAGCCTCTCAAAAGATCAGATTTATCCAATGAAACTCAAGGGCATCTCCATCTGCTATTCAGCTCTCAAGTCTGCCTTGTGTGGAAATTATGTCAGCTTTGGCGTCTTCAAGTTGTATGGGGACAACCATTTTGACAATGTACTCCAGGCCTTTGTCAAAATGCTGCTGTCAGTGTCCCACAGTGACTTGCTAGTAAGCAATCATGCATCATGGGAGTCTTTGTATGAAATGTGAAGTAACACCACCACAGGCCTGCAAGTGTTATAATGCAGTCCAGGGAGTTAGCCTAGAACATTTTATGTTTTAAGACAGCATACTTGATCTAACTTACAGAATTTGGAAAACTATAGTGGCTTTTTTTTTTTTTAACATCTCTGCCTGATTATGCAGAAGCCAATATGTGCCCAGTGTCGTCGCAGTAATTACTTAAGTAACATAGCCACATCATGCTCAGACTTTGTTCAGGCTTTCCCACCTGCTCCCGCCCAAGGTTACGAGTAAAATCTGGAAGGCCTTTGTTAGTCAACCTGTGTAAGAAATGCTCCTTGATCTCCTAGTGGGCTAGTCCATCATCTTCCACCTTTATAAACTAATCTTGGAATGGCCACATCTCAAGCCAAAGTTATTAAGCTTCCTTGTAGTAGAATGGAATGATCATTGAAGGATATATCTGTTAGACAGAAATTACAAAATAGAAACTTGAGTTACATCAGCCATATGTTAATATCACCTCATCGAATAGTTACTTCACTGGAGTTAAAGTCCACCAAGGCAACTGGTATGGTTCCAAGAATTTTTCTCTAATTTTTTTATTCTAGTAGTCAAGCAAACCTTCAATCCAGTAATTCTCAAACTTGAGGGTGCATAAGACTCTCTTAACTTGTGTGTCAAAAATGTACATTTCAGGGCCTAAACTAGAGCTTGTCATTTAGTGAATCTGAAGTGGGAATCAGGCAACTGCATTTTTGGCAAGCACCCCAAGTGATTCCTATTGAGTTGCTCTTAACATCACTTTAAGAAATGCTCCTCTGGTTTCTCTCTTTTTTTTTTTTTCTTTTTTTTTAGAGGTGGGGTCTTGTTGTGTTGCCCAGGCTGTTCTTAGACTCCTGGGCTTAAGCAGTTCTCCTGCCTCAGCCTCCCAAGTAGCTGGAATTACCAGCAGGAACCTCCATGCCCAGCTTCTCTAATTTATCACACAAGTTTATTTCTTTGATACTGGTTTGGATTGCATTTGAGATTTTTCAGGTATCTTTCTCATGTACTTATCTTTTGCCTGTAGTGTATGGTAAATATTAAGCCCTTTACCAAGTTATTATTTAGTTAGATGGATTAGCATTATATTAATACAACAGACTATGGTGCCAAATCCCATTATAACAGCAAATGTCTTTGTGTTTAAAAAACCAACAAAAAAAGGTTTCCTAGCCACTGTTAAGCACTATTCAGTGTTAAGTATTCCAATCCAGAAAAATAATTCACACAGTCTTCTAAATGTCATATTGCAGGGATTTTACTTTTAAGTGCTAACCATGTAAGGTAAAGAGATCAAGAGATTCCTATCAGAACCCCTTTAAATGCTGGATTGGGACTCATTATGTCATTTGCTCTATATATTTATTGACCTTGTGTTTAAATAAGTTTACAATTTCCAGTATTATAAATGACAATTTTCACTGGACTGTAACATGTATTTTTCTTCCCTGTGGCTTGACATTTAGTATGTCTCTGTCCTGTAGCAATACCGGAAACTGAGCCAGTCTTACTATCCACTTCTGGAATGTCTCACTCAGGACCACATGAGCTTCATCATCAACTTAGAGCCTCCTGTACTCATGTATGTTCTCACATCTATCTCAGAGGGACTCACTACTCTTGGTAAGGATCATAGAGGACATTGTTTCCATAGGAAAAACTTGAGTATAGGCTTTTAATGTATGTGATTATTGAGACTATCATCCTACAAAGGGGAAAAGATATTGTGAACCCAAACTGAAAGGTTATTTTATAACCATTACTTGCAAGTGGGAAAAATTATTTCTTCATATTTTGATACATAGTCAGTTATGTTTTCATCAGCTTTACTGAGGTATAATTTACATATAATAAAATTCACTGATTTTAAGTGGACAGTCCAATGAGTCCTTGTACAAATGTGTACATGTACACAAACATAGCCACCGCGACCAATGTGTAGTATATTTTCATTACCACTAAAAGCTCTTTTTTCCTCCTTCTAATCAATCCCTTCCCCCTACCTCTCACCCGAGGGAACTAACGCCTGTTTTCTCTCACAATAGTTTGCCTTTTCCAGAACTACATATAAGTGGAATTATATAATATGACATTATTTGTGTCTGGCTTCTTTCATTTAGCATAGTGACTTTGAGATTCATTCACATTATTTTGAAAATCAATTAGTTTATTCCTTTCTGTTGCTGAGTATTATTCCGTTGTATGGATTATTAGTTTGTTTATTCACCAGCTGATGGACATTTGGGTTGCTTTCATTATTTGACTATTTTGAATACAGCTATTATGAACATTCATATACAAGTATTTATGTAGGTAAATTTTTTTTATTTCTCTTGGGTACATACCTAGAAGTGGTATTTCTAGGTTATATGCTAAGTGTATTTTTAACATATAAGAAACTAACAAACTGTTTCCCAGAGTGACAGTGACAGCATTTTGCTGTCAACAACAGTATATGAGGATTCCAGTTGCTCTGTATACTTGTTAACATTATTAACGTCTTTTTCATCTTACCCATGATAGTGGGTGTGAAGTAGAATCTTCAAGTTGACTAATCTTTTCTTCTGTGATACCTAATCTTCTATTAATACTGTATTTGGGACTGGGCACGGTGGCTCAGCCTGTAATCCCAGCACTTTGGGAGGCTGAGGCAGGTGGATCACCTTAGGTCAGGAGTTCAAGACCAGCCTGGCCAACATGGTGAAGCCCCATCTCTACTAAAAATACAAAAAAGTTAGCCAGGCCTGATGGTGGGCGCCTATAATCCCAACTACTCGGGAGGCTGAGGCAGGAGAATCACATGCACCCAGATGCACCCAGGAGGCATAGGTTGCAGTGAGCCGAGACTGCACCATTGCACTCAGCCTGGACAACAAGAATGAAATTCTGTCTCAAAAAAAAAAAAATATTTTAGCTGAGCATGGTGGCTCGTGCCTGTAATTCTAGCACTTTGGGAGGCCAAGGCGGGTGGATCACCTGAGGCCAGGAATTCAAGCCTAGGTTGACCAACATGGTGAAACCCTGTCTCTACTGAAAATACAAAAAATTAGGCAGGTGTGGTGGCACCTGCCTGTAGTCCCAACTACTCGGGAGGCCAAGGCAGGAGAATCGCTGAGGTTGCAATAAGCCAAGATGGTGCCATTACACTCCAGCCTGGGCAACAAGAGCAAAACTCCATCTCAAAAAAAAAAAAAAAAAAAGAACTGCATTTGTTTTCATTTTAGACATTGTATTTTTATTCTCTAGAATTATTGTTATTATTTTTTAAGACAGAGTCTCACTCTGTTGCCCAGACTGGAGCACGGTGATATGATCTCATCTCACTGCAACCTCCACCTCCCAGGTTCAAGCGATTCTTGTGCCTCAGTCTCCCAAGTAGCTGAAATTACAGGCTTGCACCACCATACCCAGCTAATTTTTGTATTTTTAGTAGAGATAGGGTTTTGCCATGTTGGCCAAGCTGGTCTTGAACTCCTGACCTCAAATGATCCGCCCACCTCGGCCTCCCAAAGCGCTGCGATTACAGGTATGAACCACCATGCCTGGAATTCAATATTTTAATATTGAATTTTTAAATATTTTCTATTTTCTCCTCATCAGGTTTATGTTTTTTTAACATTGATCATATGGATAAGAGTTATAATAGGCCAGGTGTGGTGGCTCACACCTGTAATCCCAGCACTTTGGGAGGCCAAGGCAGGCAGATCACAAGGTCAGGAGATTGAGACCATCCTGGCTAACACAGTGAAACCCCGTCTCTACTAAAAATACAAAAACAAAATTAGCCAGGCCTGGTAGTGGGCACCTGTAGTCCCAGCTACCCAGGAGGCTGAGGTGGGAGAATGGCATGAACCCGGGAGGCAGAGCTTGCAGTGAGTCAAGATCACGCCACTGCACTCCAGCCTGGGCGACAGAGCAAGACTCCATCTCCAAAAACCAAAAGATTTCTAATAGCTATTTTAAGGTCCTTGTCTACTGATGTGATTTCTGGATCTGTTTCTATGGATTTTTCTCCTTATGGGTCATGTTTTTTTCATTCTTAATATAACTTGTTATTTTTGAATGTGTGCCAGACATCATGAATTTTACATTTTGAATTTTCTGTGCTAGATTTTGGTTTTTATTTTTTGGAGACAGAGTTTCGCTCTTGTTGCCCAGGCTGGAGTGCAACAGCGTGATCTCGGCTCACTGCAACCTCCGTCTCCCGGGTTCAAGTGTTTCTCCTGCCTCAGCCTCCCGAGTAGCTGGGATTACAGGCATGCACCACCACGCCCAGCTAATTCTGTATTTTTAGTAAAGACAGGGTTTCTCCATGTTGGTCAAGCTGGTCTCGAACTCCCGACCTTGGGTGATCCTCTCGCCTCAGCCTCTCAAAGTGCTGGGATTACAGTCATGAGCTACCACACTCGGCCAATTTTTATTTTCTTAACGTGGATTTTATTCTATCCTGCAGTTGAATAACTTTTGAATCAGTTTGACTCATTTGAGATCAGATGGCAACTCTTACTTTGGAGTAATTGGGCCCCACCACTAAAGTGTTAGCTCTGTGAGGACATTCCGGTGCTCCATGTGCTATGAAGTTCCTCCACAAATGATTTCCAGCTTGTAATCTTCAAGAATTATTTGGCCTATTACTTTTCAGTGGTTCTTTCCCCAGCCTTGGGAGTTTCTTCTCATACTTTTTTTTTTTTTATAGATGGAGTCTGTCTCCGTCGCCCAGGCTGGAGTGCAGTGGCGTGATCTCGGCTCACTGCAGGCTCTGCCTCCCAGGTTCAAGCAATTCTCCTGCCTCAGCCTCCCAAGTACCTGGGATTATAGGCATTTTCCACCACACCCAACTAATTTTTTTGTATTTTTAGTAGAGACGGGGCTTCACCTTGTTGGCCAGGCTGGTCTCAAACTCCTGACCTCAAGTGATCTCCCAAAGTGCTGGGATTACAGGCATGAGCCACTGCGCCTGGCCTCTTCTCATACTTTTATAGGTCACTGTTCAGACAAACACTGGAGAGGACTCCCTTGGAGATCTGTAGAACTCTCTTACATAGGTCCCACACTCTGGTACTCTGTACTACAAGTTTTAGCTGCTTTAGCCTTCCCAGATTTCAACCTTTTCTTCTCCAACTCAGTGAGACTGCTTGGCTTTGTTTGGGTTTTCCCTTACTAGCCTGCAATCTGGAAACTGCTTTGGGCAATAAGCTTGAGCAATTGTTTTCCTCCTCTCTAGTTTAATGGTCCTGTACTGCTTGTTGTACAATAATTGAAAACCATTGTTTCGTATAATTTGTCCTGTTTTCTAGTTGTTTGGCAGGAGGGCAAATTCTCATAGCAGTTAATTCTTCATGGAATAAGAAGAAATTCTGTCTTCTATTATTACAGTTTAGCTTGACATTCTTTTATCTCACATCATAGTAATACTTGAAGATTTTGAATTATTTGCAGGTAGCTATGTTATTTTCGACATGTGATCTTGTTAAGACTTAGAATCTGCATTTTAACAGACTCTCAAGGGCGTCTTGACAAAGTGGCCTTATGAAAGGAATACTGAACTTGGATTTAAGTCCCAGCACTGCCACTTACTACTTGTGTGACCATGGGCACATACTCCATGCCTGCTGCTGTCATAGGTGACTCATGTGGATACTTGACTGTTTTCATTCTCAGAACCATTTGTGTACCAAAAGCAGGTTAGGTACTCTAAGAGCACTCTTTATTCTTATTTTCTCCTTATTTTCTAGTTTATTCTTACTTTCTACTTGTAAGTTTCTGAAGGGCAGGAACAGTCTATTACTACTTTACTTCCAGTTCCTAGCATTATAGTAAGTGCTCAATAAATATTTACTGAATGCATTAATTAGGTAATATTATTTTCATTGTACAAATGAGGTAAGCTGTGGCTCAGAGAGGTGAAACAATTTGCCTAAGATCATAAAACTAATAAGTGAATGACCTAGGAGTCATTCAAACTCTAAAACCCATTCTTCCTGACCACACTACCCTGCTAGATCTACCTGATAAAGGTCACAGCTTTGACAGCTAGAGGCCTGGTAGAGATTATTTTCTTTGTACATATTGGTGGTTTTATCTTCAGCCTCTTATATTGTTGCAAATTCACATTGTAACCACTGGATAACTCTGGCAAGTGAATTGGGCCCTGTGTCATTAAGAAAGGGGACTATTTAGAATGTTGAAAGTAACCACTTGGATTTTTCCTTTCCCAACAATGATACATTTTAAAAAGAGGAATTTATTGGTATTGTTTGGATTATAGGCAGGTTTCATTTCTGTTGTTGCCTTGATGGAAAAAATGAGGAGGTACAGAAAAGTTGAATCAGTGATAGAGTGATGACTTGCCTAATATTGCGAAAATGATTTAAAAATTTCAGTTAATTTCATTCATTAGCATTTTTAATTTCATGCTATCTTTTTAATCATCCATCCATTCTCTGCCCACCTCAACCCCAAACTCTTATACACAGACACCAAGCACAGTGTCTTTAAAAATCTGCTCTTACTGATGGCTCTGAATTCCTTCATTCAGTAATTATCAGTTGTGCATATACTATATACCAAGTACCTTTCTAAACCTTGGCAGTACTGAAGGAAACAAGACAGATAAGATTTCT